CCAGACGCTTGGCCAATCCGATTCCCGTGTAGAGGGAAAGGGACCTATATAGCCCCTTGTCAGGGTTCTTTGACTTTGGGAACAACTTTGAGGTACGCCCCTTCCATCTGGGCAAACTGCGTGCAACCCCACCCCACGTGACAACCAAAAGGACACCACCCTTTTGGGGTCCCCTCACAAACAAGCAAGAACCAAAGACCCCCAAACGTACCATGGTCAAACTACCCGACTGGTGGGGATGGTCCTCTTTGGGCGCCGGAAGCAGCGCAAAGATGTTTTGAGGCGCCTGGAGTTGCGCAGCACCGGCGGGGCCGATCAGACAATGCCTGGCGAAGGCGCCAGGCAACACATGTTGGAACCCTTGGGCCCTTGGCCTTCCAAGGGCCTGTAAAAGGGCCCGTCTTGATTTTGCAAGGAACATCAGCCAGAGGCCTGCTTCAGCGTGCTGGAAGATCAAGGTAGTGGACAAAGAGACTTAGGTCCCTTCTAAAGCCAACCGGTATAACAGCGGGCTTTCCAAACCACCTACGCAACTTGGACGCTTGGGAGATTGAACTACAGGGACAGTCTTTTCTTAGGCTTGCTTGGGGTTCTTTGTGTGAGACTCCCTGAGTGCGGAAACTTGTTCAGGGAGACAGGGTCTACCATTCCTAAGTGCTGAAGGGGCTTAGCCCTTGCCTCACATCGCGTGACATGGGCCGAATTCGGGAGCTCTTTCTGCGAGTGCGGCACGCCACAAGACTGCGACCCTTCCAAATCCAACGGGCTCCAAAAAGGGACCCCCAATCCCAAATAGGGGTGGATAGCGCCTACTGGCTGTGTAGGGTTTGCTTTGGGTGCCTTTTTTGGGGCTCCCTTTTTGGGAGGCGCTCTGTCCAGCATCCTCGCGGCTCTGCTTTCTGTGGGTTCCTGAGGGTTCAGGGTTCCTACATGTGCGTGTACAAATATATATATATATATATATATTAAAAGAAAAAACACAACCTGTCAACACACACACACACACATTCACACTCTGACCGGCCAAGACGAGAGGCAGATGTCTCTGACGCCGTCCGCGAGATGAGAATAAAAGGTCCCTGTAAAACGAAAATGGTCTTCCAGGACCCACCGTGTCAGGTTCCATGTTAATTGGTGGGAAGGTACGCAAAAAAACGAACGACAACACGCACGCCCGAAGGCCAGCCCTCGATCCGCTCGATGCGAACCGCGCCCCAGGTCCAAGTCTAATCGCTCCAGGGACTGCGGCAGCGCTAAAGCCTGCGGCTTCACACCGGTGACCATCGGCCAACAGGCTTCCCAAAGACTAACAGCCCATATAAAGAGGGACATTCCCTTGTATCACAGAAGTGGGAATAAACCCCTTGATTCCTGGGCAAAGTATAATAATTCTCACCTCGTCACCTCGTTAGCGTAATTCGCTATCTGGATTTACCACCCCGCCTCGTTCGTTAGACCCTCCAGAAATAACGCCTCGTAAGCCATGCCCCGGAAAATGCATTGCCACCACCAAAACAAGAGTACCTTCAAAAAACGACATGGAAATCCTTTGGGGGCCTTCTCATGGAAATCGCTTGGGAGCCTGGGCAGGTGCACTTGGGGCAGGCTATGTGTTCCGAGGAACCCTGAACCCTTCCATGTGGAAATGTGCTCCTTTTCCAAAACGAAGTTGTTTTTCAGGGTTTCGAGGGGCAGCCTCACCACGGTCAAAAAGAAAGGTTGCCGACGAACACTACAGACAGCTTGTGTTTTTAGGGCCCGGGAAATCTAAATTGAAAGGTTCTGCCAGACCACCCCTGCCATTTGCAACTTGCCATGTGGAAATGCCTTTTCCAAAAAGAAGTCGTTTTTGCAAAGGGGATTTTACTTGGATTCTGTCCTGGCAATAAGCTCCAGTGTGGGACCCCTCGCGTAGCTCGAAGATTTTCGCTCACCCATCTGTGTTGCTAACAGGGGGGCTGTGGCAGAAACCTTTTCCCCAAAGGCTTGAGCAAGGCCGGGCCTCTCTCAAAACCCACGGGGAAGCGTTTTATATTTTTTAAAGGCGCCCAACACGCATTTGACAGAAAGCTAAGTCCAAGCATTGCTGTTTCACCACATATCTGTGGCCAGAGCCCCTTTTTCAAAAATAAATCGTTTTGGAGGGTTTCCAGGGCGCCAGCCTTCAAAAAACTGCCTGGTGGATTTTTTGGGGCCGGAAAATCTGAATTCTAAGGTTCTGAAGAGCCATCCCTGCCGTTTGTGGCCTGTCACATGGAAATGTGCTTATTTTCCAAAAAGGGGTCGTTTTTGAGGGTTTTCAGGACACGCTCGAAAACAAAGGGTCCGAGCCCTCCTTCTCCTTGAGAACCAGCAAGTGGGGCCCCAAGGTTTCTTTCATAGGGGTTCCTTATTTTGCTGAAGCCAATCCCAAAATGGGTTGAAAGCTTAGTTCTCAAATCTCCACCTCGCACCTCGCCTCGTTATTTCCAGTTAGCTACCTCGTACCTCGGCTGAGCTCGCTATAATTGGTCCAGCTTGATCCCACAACTTTGCTTCAGATTGAAGCCAAGAAGTCACGCCTTTGGCTCGAACTTGTCTTCCACAAGCGTGGAGAATTCCACGGGGTGAGTTCAAACCTTTTCCCAACAATCGTGGAAGTGGACAAGGGGCCTTTTCATGAGAATGGTAGTCTCCCAAAATCGGATGTGCACTTCCCCCCAGCTTTCCGCCGGGCACAAACTACCCTCCATCCAATCATGGAAGCTGACGATCGGATGGTCTTCAAAGACTCTTTTCCTTTGGGTGTCCGTTTTCACATCCCCTACCAAAAGTTTAACCTTTAGTGGGTGAAGTGAAAAGCCCGACTACACCCTAAAACGCCAAAAAGCTAAGGAACCGGATGGCTGGGAACCACCAAGGAACCCATTGGGTAGAGGGTAACCCCTAGCGCGATGCCCATGATGCCCCTGCCCCGCCTTGGCGCCCTCCGGGCCGATGTCACATTTCTGCAGCAGCAGCCGGAGCCTGGCTGCGAAGTCGAACTTGACGCCAAGTGAGGGGCTTGGGATTGGCTTGGGGCCCCACAAAGCCAACTGCAAATATGGCTTTCCCAAGCTGAATTAAGACTTGGATCCCCAAGTAAGGACCGTTGTCATGGGTGAGCTCGTTATACCCCAAGGTGAGCTCGCGATAAAAATACACAAAACAATACGTATATGACTTGAAAGCGACAAATAAACACAAAAGTTGGTGGATCGATTTCTGCTTTTCCAGACCCTCGGTTTAATGGCGTGAACATACTTTAAGTCGCTCACCAGCCTTTTCAGGTTCTATGTTTGATCTTGTTGATACGCCTTTCTGCCTTGATATGAAGGAACCCAGGCGGAAAACAGAAATCCATGTTAGAAGCCCTCTCATCTCGACACAATCGATTTGCAAAAATGTACCTTATCATACCCGTCCCCACACCCGGGACCATTCACTGCTTCAAGCCCCAAGGGTTCGATGCGGTTGGACAGAGAAACAGCAGGCTATGGAGGATGCTGGCGCATAGCTTACCTTTGGGAAGTTTAAACAACATGGTTCCTTTTCTCACTTCCCGAGTGGGTTGGCCAAAAAAGTTCAAACTTGCTGCTTGGCACTAGAATTGTCTTCCCGCCAAAATTAAAGTCGAAGAACTCAAGAAGTGAGCATGTAGCACACAGTTGATTAAGTTTTGTGCCAATGCTGGTTGGAATAAGTTGCCAATGCTGGATGAAACAAGCCGCTTTGGGGGTCATGGAATATCTGTGTGTCGCTAAAAAGGTGCCAACCTAAAACCCCGACTTTCCGCACCTGCAAGGCACAGGCAAATTGATGCCACAAACCAAACATGGGAAACAAGAATTGAATCCTCAAGCCTCAAGTGAGAGATGATCACCCCTTAGAGGATTCACCTGCAAATCACCTGGTAAGTATCGTAACCCTTTCAAACAGATGGTAGGGGATGTTTTTTTTGGCCAACATGTATACCTTAATCAACTGGCCTAACTGTATCCTTCAATCAATATCCCTAAATTAATGACCTGAAGCACCTTCCGCATTCGGTTTCCAAAGGTGCTGGGTTGCAAATCTCCAAAATCCAATCCAGCCATTCAAGGGCAACCTGACAAGATCACCACATGTCCAAAACTTCGGTGACCCTTCCGCCTCCGCAAGGGCGGGAACCGCAAACTGGCAGCGCCCACGGCGCGGATGCCACAGCCTCGAGGTGTCAGGTCCGGGGAGGGTTCCGGGTTCAATCGTGGCTGGGTTCAGCTGGGTTGACGTTGGAAGGGGAGCAAAAATTCAAGTTTTAGCAGTTAAGTGGTTGGATTTCAACCACTAAACCACCATAAGCAAAAATGTTGAATCTTTCCCAACAACAACCATGCAAGGAGACCAAGCTGCATATGAGCTGTCTCCTGGCCGAAGTCAGAATGAAGGAAACCCAAAAGTTGGTCAAAAAAGGCCAAGCGAATGTGAGTTAAGTCTGGCAAAGATACCCTGGTGACCCATGTCTGACAAAGTGGTCCCACGTTTGTAACAAGGGTTTACGCTCCTACTGGGTCCATTTGAGTGACACACTGTCAACATGCCCAGTTTAAACGGAAACAACCCCCGGACATACTATCATATCCCAATCCCTCAAGACATTAACTTTCTTGGACATAGTCCTAGCGCTTACATTTTCATTTGGCCTCGGAGCCCCTATCATCCAGTGCTCTCATTATTTGAGTTCGCCCCACCTCCACAGACCATGTTTCTGGCATTGCCTTTTGTCTCGTATCCAGTCCCGGGTAAAACCCAAATTCATGCACTTGTTGTACCCCTTACGACCTCTCTGGGCTAGGCAACAGGTATATGGCGAGTCGGATAGAGTCGCCATAGTTGGATCCACAAAGGCATCAAAACCAAGTCTGGATAAGCCTGTCTAGACTTTGACACCGCCAGACGAATTCCATGGTTCAAACCACCTCCCCACTGCGCACATGTTTCTTTCAGATGCGCCAGCGCGGCTCAAAGAGCCCCTCATAGCTGGGAATCGCCGGGCCAGGATTTGGGCCCGACCGGTAGGACTCGTCGTCGTACGGAAGCCTCAGGCTCTCGGACTCGGCATCGACTCGAAAAGGAACTGATGGGACTGGGAAGAAGCCACTTCCAAACCAAGGCACAGCTGAGAGCAACGAACCCCGAAAACCGAAAGCCCGGTCTTTTCACCATGGCGCTCTTGGGGTTTCTCTCAGCCGACCTTATCGGCACAAGTTGGTATAGTTTTCGGTGGGCACAGGGAACGCCAAATCGAAGCAATCGGAATCTTAACCCGGGGCGGGATAAACGTGCTTATTGGAAAGGGGGCTGTTTGTTTCGTCTTCCATGTCATGTACCAACAGAGCAAGTATCATGGCAAATGCAAAGCGAGCACAGCACGCAGGGGGCCCTCAACTTGAAAATAATCTAGTAAGCAGCCCTCAAATTGAAAAGAATCTAGTATACAAACCCTAAACCCTAAATCTATAAACCCCGCTGAACAAGCTGACCAGTTCCTAACTCAGCCAAACATCCGGCTGCCCAGCGGCTCTTGCTGAAAGACCCGGGCGAAGAGCTGGCGAACGTGCGGCGCCGGGCAGTCATTGGACACATCACGAGGCGTGACGCGGAAGTAGCGGCCCCAGAAGGTCTCCTGGGCACTTGAGTTCAACCCACTCCGTAAGTAGGCTGTAACCATGGCGAACGTAGTAGAAAAGAAATATGTATATATATATATATATTATAGAGAGAGTTTCTATGTGACATTATATATATATTTATACACCTATGTGTCTATTCACCTATCTACATCTATCTGCATCAATCTAAGCTATTCTTGTATATTGTTGCTGTCTCCTTAGACCATAGGACCCCTTTTCCAAGACCTCAAATTGCTTTGGGCCCCCAGAAGATTGGCTCTTCCCAATTTTGGTCCAGGATCCCAAGACCCAGATGGCCTTTGACCCCCCAAGACCTCAAATCGCTGTCCTGCACAGGCGCCAACGGTGGATCAGCCGCCGAGTCAAACCTCGTGCGAGGGAACTCTGAAGGGCCGCAAGTTGGAGGAAACCAGGGATACCCCGCCCCAACAAACACACCCTAGGCGGGTTTTTGTATTACACACCCTTGGGAAATGACCCAGAATGGTTCAAAATAAGCCTAAAGGGGTCAATACCCAGTGGGTGTATTCCCAGGGTGTAATACAAAAACCCCTTGGACCTGGGATTTGCTCACCTCTTGGCACCTCTACAAATGGACCAAGCTTGGAAAACCAAAAGGTCAACAGGTTGGCTTTGGGCAACACTGAGGTTGAGGTCTGGGGTCCTATGGGCCTGCATTTGAATCTCTTGGGGTCCCTTCTGAAGAAGATCCTTTTCGTGTCAAAGGAACCCGTGTACAGGCTCTTTAAAGGCGTGTGGAAAATGAACCCCCCTTCTGACAGCAAAACATCGGGCTCACGACTAGCTTCTCACTTGGGGGGTCCCCTGTCAGCCAAAAACCAAAAGGAAGGCCTGATTTTGTGGAGGTTTTTTTTTCCCCAGCGGACAGGTGAAGTGGAAGGATCAACCATGCAAATCATGGTGCTTGGGTTTCCCACTTGGCCTGACTTGCGGCATTTGCCTTGAGAACTGCCTCCTGGTTCAACAAAACAAAAGATGGGTTCCTTAAGACTTTCCTTCAGGCCAGCCCCTGAGAAAGGGCTATCTTGAAAACATGACCGCCCCCACCCTCCAATCCCAACAGGCTTTGGTCTAATCGTCTAACTCCGAAATTCAACATGTCTAACCAACACCCAGTGGATCTCAGTTGGTAACAAGCCATTTTCCTCTTGGTCTTTAAATTTTAAAGGGTGGATCCGTTGTTTAGCTAAATCATGATGAGAGTGGGGACCAGCTATAGAATGTATATTTTATTGTTTGCTTCACTTTGAGTCACAGGTAAAATGTAAAATGTATCCGCCTAAGTCTACCATGTCTACCCCAGAAATGGGTCCACTGGGACGTGTTCCAAGAACCTCCTTTTAAACTTTTGGTGTCCCGAACAAAGGCGACCTTGAAACCAACCGCGCAACTCTCCCAAGGACTTCCTGTGCCTCACTTGCCCCCTCGCTCTCCTAAAAGTGGACCAACATTGGAAAACCCATGCCCAAAGGACCTGGAAATCAAAGGGGATACTTTTGAGGCTCCTGTTAGTGGACCAAACCGGAAGTACCATTGCGATCAAAGTCATTTCACGAGCTGGGTTGTTGCAATTGTGGGCCTGTGAGGCTCCACTACAAGGGAAGCCAAAAACCATCTGGCATGATTCAGGACTGGTTTTGAAAGGTTTGATTATTTGATCATTGTTTTGGGACGCTTCCAAGTGGATCAAGCCGGGAGAACCAAAAGGCTGCGTAGTTCCATCGGATTGCTCGCAAAAAGTCCGAACTTTTGTTTACCACAAAATTGGTCCAGACCCAAAAAGTGACCAAAGTCCGGAACGGAACTCAGGGAGTGCGAAAAAAACCAAGAAGCCATAGGAGGCCTTTTGGAAGAAACAGATGGGTGTCCCTGGTAAATGGGGCATACACCCCATCTAAACCAGTGAAACCCATCTATGTTTCACCAAACCAACCTAAAAAGGACACCTGGGTGTGGGTCAAAATTAAACCACCAGGGGACCGCAGATTTCAGTCCTTGGTTCCATTTACCAGGCTTCTATTTTGGGTACCCATTTTTGACCCACAGCCACCTATGCAATAAGCATGTGTCCAAAAAGGCGGACAGGGAACGTCTGAGCCAGGGCACAGCACCAGGATCCCCGTGTCGGCCACTGCCCTGGTCATGGCCGCCTGCTCTTTGGGGCTGCCCAGGGCCCACTGCAAGTACCTGGTGGATGAATATTCCTTTTCGCTTGCTGGTGCGATAAGTAGAGAATGAGGCTGAATAAACCTAAGAACAATCCCCTTAAGAGCAGCCACGGGGGAAGGTTTTCTTTGGGGTCATTCTATTTCTCATTCCCTTGTGAGCATCAGCAAGTTCGGGCTCCCTAATTTTGACCAAGGGTGACTTTTCCCATGGAAGGGTCGTCATCTGAGGTGGGTTTTCCAGCCACTGGTCACATACGCGTCACGGAGCGTTTGAAGCCCCGCCTCTGGCCCTCCAGCACCAGGTCCACCGTCAAGTGGCCTGGAACCCACTTGAATTTTCTGGGGATTGGTCAGAGAAAGTCACCAACATGGTCTACTTAAGGAGTGACCAAAGTCCAGGAAATCAGGAAGTAAGCTGAAGTAAACCAAAATATGGAGCCAGGCTTGCGTTTGCACACGAAAATGGGAACCTGCAGGTGTCCAAAGCAAAAGTGCTCCTCATCCAGCGAGGCCACCCTCCCAAACATAAAAACTGAGGGAAGCTGAACACCCTTTTTAACCGCTATGTGGCTGAAATGCTGCAATCAGCCACAAAGGCAATTGGTAAGTAGCAAGTGAATAGTAACTAAGCAACACAAGTACCGCTACACGTGATTCTCGTCTAGTCATGATTTAACTTGGTGTTCAAGTGCCCCGACAACCGCATTGTAGAGACTGAGGCCCTTATGATATTAGCATGTATTCGCCAGGCGAGGCTAGGCCCTGAATCGATTCCTGTCGGAGAGGACTAGTACGTTGCGAATAGATTCGAAGTTGCTTAGGTGCGAACCCGAAAAAAGGATCTCCAGCCTGGGATGGAAATGGGGGTGGTGCCTCTCCCCTCCCCGCCCCTATGCGGTTCTTAAGGGATATCGGATGACCAGGTGCATTGGGAGGTGGTAGTGGCGCTCTGCCGAATCCTGTATTGGGAGCCAGGCAGAATCCACATTGGACGGACTTTGCATGTTCCAACAAAGGTAGTCCACCCTCAAACCCAACCACAGGCAAAGCAGTCCAAAGAAAGGTGAGATGCTCAACACGACATGTGCTGACCAAGTGTGCGATCAACCCCCCTCGCCCCTCCAGTCATGCTCCAAGAAGTCAAACGGGTATGGGTCAAAATAGGCCCCCACCCCACAAAAGTTGGGTGTGCCGTTTTCCTTTAAATCCCCCCCCCCAAAAAAAAAACTCAAACATCTTCACATAAAATCAAACATCTCCTTGCACCCTACTACTTTTGGTGCCCCCCCCAAAAAAAAAAAGTTGGGTGTGCCGTGTTCCCCTTTCCACCAAGCAACCTGCGGGCGCCTTGGGGCCTTGGGGCCTTGGGGCCTTGGGGCCTTGGGGCCTTGGGGCCGCCCGACCCGGACGAGGCCCCCGGCTGTGCCCAAAGACGTGGACCTGCGGCTTGAGGCGCCGGATCTGATCTTCCAGCGCCAGCGAGCCGGAGACCTCACGCCCCATCTGTTCTTCTTCTTATTTATTTGTTTTGGGGTGTGTGTGTGTGTGTTTTTGTGTGTGTTGTGTCCTCTTTTTTATTTGTTTCTGTTTGTGTTGTTGTTGTGTGTTTCGGCCTGCATTCATGCTGTATTTTTGGTTTTGCTAAGGTGCTGCGAGGAGCTTGCCTCTGATGCGAGATACAAATAGAGAGAGTTGTTGTTGTGGTTGTTTTTGAATCGCTTGGTTTTGGTTTTGCATAGGAAAAAACGTCTGCCCAAACTTGGTATCCCAAACCAGCGCTGGTGTGAGAGGTCGCTATAGGGAATGAGAACGAGTCCGGGATTTGGGGGAATGAGCCGGTGTTGGGGGATTTTCTGAATAAAGGAAACTAGAGGATGGATGGTGTATAGGAATCATTCCATTTCTCATTCCCTGCTGAGAAGCAAGACAAAAGGCTCAAGACAATCGGGCCATAAATTATCAAGGTCCAAGGAGATAGGCACCAACAAAAAAGGACTTGGCCTCAACCGGATTGCTCAAAAGTATGTTCAACCAGATTGTGAAATATGAGTAAACAAATTGGAGACCCCCAAATATGTTGCAACCTGTGACTGGCAGTTGCGTGCTTCCTTGTCGTTCGGGGCCAGGGTGGGTGATGGAACTTGATTCGACTAGAACGGAATCTAGACAAACGGGGAATCAGGCAGAACCCACTGTGCAGGGGCATGTCGGCAACCACAAATCGCAGTCACAAAAACGTGCTGAAAACTTCCTGCCAACGAAGGCATAATTCCGAACATAGCGGGCTCTGCGTTTCTGAATGCAACCGTGGGAGCATCGAGGCTAAAGGGCCCTTAGTGGGGCATGTGTCAGACGCAAGCTTTGGGCCAAGCAACGAACTCCAAGTCAAACTCAGCCTTGGACAAAAGCCAGGGCCCGGGTCTTCACTGTCTATGGCCGCTTATCTCACTTGCCCAAAGGACCCAGAAATAAAAGGTTAACCTTTTGGGGCCATGACTAAAAATGGCCCAACACTGGAAAACCAAAAGGTTAAAAGGTCGGCTTTGGGCAACTGAGTTATCCATCATCCTCAATAAGTCGCAGGTTTCTTTTCCTTGGAGACCAAACGTGGACCCAGACAGTCGGACCCACTTCATCTGCCATAACTTTGTCAAATCTAGACCCAGTCTGAACCGGGAGGAAGACCAAGAAATTGAACCCGTTCATCCCAGTGTTTAGTGGGAAACCCACCCACACGCATGGCTTGATCAACATGGGTTGCTTCCCACTTTCTGAGCAAAACACAGGGAGAGGCTCATGTTCCTCTATTTTCAGACCCTGTATTCAACATCCCACTCTGTGCCCCGCTGAAAGGTGGAACCAACAGGATGTGTTTTTAATTCAAACGTTGGTCGGAGAGTACCCCTTGCTTTGGTGTTTTGAAGGGAGACCCATCGGATCTCAATCCTTGTCGAAAATTCCCTAGACCAAAATGAGAGGAAATCACAAGTCACAAGCCGGCCATTTGTTTCAACCCAAATCAACCAGCAACCCGGAGGCCAAAACAAGAATGGACCCCGTTGTCCTTTGCACTTCTAGCGTCAAACCATGAAAACAACGCTTGGCTCAAACAGGTAACTTGGGCACAACATGAAATCTCAGAAACCTTGGACCAATTTTGCAGGTTGTTTGGTCTTCTAAGGTTCGATAAAACTGGTTCTAGAAGCTCGTGGGCCTTTTCGACACACCCCCCACACCTAGGTACGGGGCTCCAATTCCAATTGGGAACGCATGGGAATCAATTGCGAATGAAATTGCGGCCACCCCTTCCCCAATCCAAATTTTAAGAAGGACTGCCGGGTCTTTTCTGCAGGGATCGCCTTTCGGAGGAGGGTTCAAAGGGGAAGATTTATCCAAGACCTTTCCCAGTGCTTCCAGCTACATCCAGTTACGACAAAAGGAAGGTAACCAGGTATTTTTGCCTCTAGGTGTTACATGATAGTTTCTGCTGGTTGCTTATAGTGGCTTGCCTGGCACTGGGCTTAGCTCCGCCAAATCGTGAGAGGACTTAGTCATGGGACCCGTGGCCTTGTGGAGCGTGGAGTCCACCAGAAAGCGCTTCTCAGGGAACAGCTCCTGGCCAATGCTGGGAGCCTCTTGGGCTTTTAGGGGCTGAGGAAGCCGGGGGGGGGTTGGGGGTTGGGGGGTTGGGGGAGGGTTCTTCGGAGCCTTCTCCAAATCCCAGTGCACAAGACAGGGTGAAACCAGAAGTTCAAACAACCTGGAGCAAGCTTCTGGAGTGCAGTTGGGAGGTAAGCTTCACATCTTTGTTTTGAAACTCCCAGTTTGCTGGAGTAAGCTGACTCTGTTGCAGGGAAGGGTCATGACCTGCACCCTTCTACCATCAAAGTGCACACTAGATACTTAACATGTAACATCATGTGAGTCACAATCAAAACCCGGTATTGAAATGGTCGACCCAGAACCATGTAAAGACTTAAGAAGGCGGCCGCAACTATTTCTGGCTGGGACTGCCCCCCTTCATCTACCCAGGTTTTGATTGTGGCTCATGTAACACCTCACCCGTGTCTAAAGGGATCTCCTTTTGGGAGGGGGCCTTTTTGTTTGTTCAACCTGAATTTGAAGTAGCGGGTTGCAAGGGTACCCTTCCAACATGGCTTTCTGCACCTCTGAAAGCTGGACTGGCCCTGGAAAGGGGTAGAGTGGCAGGCGAAAACATCCGAGCCCAAACGTGTAGGTAAGGGACCCTATGGTGGTTGGCCTTCCGCAAAACCAAGCCTCGAAGAACACAAACCCGGTATCAAAGGAGTCCACCCAAAGATGTCAGAGCATGCTGCCTCAGCAACAAAGACTAAAGCCAATACATACCTTGGCGACGGATAACGCGGTCTGACCGAACATGATCTTAAAAAAATATTCGCACGATTATGGTTTTCCATGGCTGAGTTCTTGAAAACAGGACGGAATCTCCAATCGTCTGTAGCCCGCAAGGGATACCGCTACCACAAGGGAACCCACTATCATCTGGCATAAGACTTCAGGAATGTTGCGGCCACCAAAGAGGCTCCCAAACTTCAGTTTCCCCTGACTTGGTGGATTAGATGGGCGATTTGAAAACTAGGGCAGCTTGCCCATGTACCCTCTACCAGAACCGCGGGTTCAACCCCCCCAAACCAGCAATCCAAACCACCCCCTCTGAGGCTAACATCCGAATACTGAAGCCGCCTGTCTGGGCAGGTAGTGCGAGAAGGAGAGCACCGTGCAGTCATCTCTCTGCATTTCGGCCATCGCCAGCAAGGGCTCGTTGAACTCGGCGAAGATCTCCTGACTCCCTTCAGGGGGACTTTTGGGTGTGGGTTTTGGAGGTATGGTTGACTTGCCCAGTTTGGACCCAGAACTAAAGGGTGATCACCTTTTGGGGCCATGACCAAACATGGACGAAAAAGCGACAACCAAAAGGTCAAAAGGTTGGACTTGAACCATTAAGATGGAGGTTAGATGCCTTCTATATTCTAACACAAGGGGTGCACTTAAAACTTTATATTGGTGGTGGTTAAGTTAATTAAGCCTCCATCCTGAAAATGGTGTTGCCCTAGAGTGCAAGTACCTGGGTCCATTCAAGGATCCTCGCAAATGCGAAAAATGGAGGGGGTACAGGAACCAAAAGGGTCAGAACCCCCCCCAAAAAAAAAACAACAACAAAAAAACAAAAAAAGGCCAGCGCGCAAGATCTGCCGTTCCCATGTCCAACCCAGGGAGGGTGCTAGCACGCTTTAGACTTGTTTTGCTCACTTGCTCTTATTTGCCCTGCTGGTGTACATGCTTTTTGTGCAAAGGAGTCTTCCAACAGTCCGCATGCACTAATGCTGGGTCCTCCTTACCAGTGTGCGCTTTCCACACTTTTGCTAGTTGCTAGGTTGATGAATGAAGGAAAGCCATTCTACCACGACTGAATGAAGGTGCCACTTTGCAACTGGATCGCCCTGTCCCTTCATGAATCGCAAAGGGATATCACCGCCATACTTGGTCAACTCAAAAAAGACCTTGGCACAGGAAAACAAACCAATTGTCTAGCCTTGTGGTTTGCTCGTTAAAATGCTTTGACCTTTGACCGGTCTCCGGCGGAGTATGGCAGGGCTGGGCAACCTCCATGTGTTTGCGCTTAGGCGCAAAATGGGCTTTTGATTTCACCCTTTAAAACCAGGGTACCCTCAAGAGCCCAGGGCGGGATGTCGAAGACAGGGCGTGTCTTAAAATGAGTGGTTTCCCTTGGGCAGAAAGGAAACGATGCCAACCACTCTTCATTTGCTTTCCTTGAGGAAAAAAACAACTTCATATGGCCATGGGTCAAAAGCCCGTACCCCCAGTGAACATCCCCCACTAAAATAGGCTAAAATGGGTGGTGCACCTACCCCAAAATGGTACCATTGGTGTTGGCCCAGGGCCATATTGGAACCCTAACGGCAGCTCGAACCGGGCCCCTTGGTCTGGCCGGGCCGCGCTGATGGCCTTCGACGTGCCCTGCTTGCCGAACAAGAAGCCCTCCTTCTCGCGGCGCGCCACTTCCTGGACAGCGTGTCTGTTCGTTCGCATGGCGCCAAACAAATCAAACAACATGACAAATTTAGTTTTGCTGGTGATGGCTTATTTAAGCCCTATAAATAGAACGCCAGGGGCTTTGGGCGCTGGTCATGTTTGCCGGCGGGAGAAACAGATCTAACAGCCTGAAAAGCCTGGTCTTGGACAAGTCAGCTATGATACCAGGTTGGTCGATTCCCATCCCCATGGCTAGTGATTATCTGAACCCATCTTTGGCATCCGGAACAAGACATTGCCTTGGCGTCACGTGACTAGTGAGCTGGTTTCACATCCCCAACATCAATTCGCACATGTCGTAGAGAGTGCGGGCACCCTTTGACACCTTTTCGACGGCTTCGATGCTGGGTCGTTCCAAATCGGATCCCTGACCCAAAAATTGCGTAGGTCATGGATGCCACTACAACTAAGTTGAAACCACCATCTCGCATAAGGACTGAAAGGAGACAATTGCAAAAAGCGGCAGTATCACTTGAGGGTTCAGTAGCCGCACATTTCCACCGGGTATAGAGCCATTCGACCAGAATAACCCCGGACCCCGCAATTTCGGAGACGGCCAGGATTCCTTTGGCAGCACCCCAAACTCATTTGCTTACGCCTGGAAAGAAACATATTTCCAGTAGTGATGGATTCTTTTTAAAACCAACAGGGGAAAATAGACATATTCTTGACAGAATGGAGCAAGGAGGACAGCTCGAGCCCGGTCCTGCATCAACAGCTCGGGCCAGCGGATCTTGTAAAAGTCCATCCATGCCACCATCTCCTTCCTGGGGCGCCGGCCCAAAAGACAAACCAACGGACGGTACACATCCCTGTGAGACAATGGCACCTGACAGAGGGTGCCTTGAATGGAAATTGATCTTCCAGGTACTCTGCCACAATTGCTATGTTAGTGGCAGGAGGGTAAAGGGAACCGGACGGCATTGCCCACGGTGGAAGCTCGCCCCAAATCTGCCATTGAGGCGTGGCCCCATCGAAGCTTCCCAACGAGAAGGCCAGTGATGCGGGAAAGGCAGCTCTTGGATTGATCATGTTTGCCGGGATGGAAGATAGCAGCCCAAGCGCCTGTGAGAAAAGGGGTGCCACTGAAAAGTGGGGGGGGGCCCTTAACTCTGAGCGTGTTTCAAAGGACACCAATTGACATTGGCTCGACCGCCGGCCTGGAAAATGCAGCACCGACTCGGTTTGACTCAGTTCGTTTACTCGGGCGGGGCGCTGCTGCTCCGGGCACCACGCGAGCTCGGGCTCTTTGTCCCACTGGGAGGTGTAGAAGGAGAGCAGAGGCAACAACCTGAGAAACGCCATGGGGATGCCCTTGGCTCGTTCTCCCTATCTAAACTGCCCAAACACACTTCCATGCCTAGAACAAAGATGCGGCCTACAGGGAAAAGCTAACAGGTACAGGCCAGGGCCATGGAGATGTCCTTGATTCGTCTGCAGTAAGTTGACCCCATTTGACCCCATACTAATCAACCCCCAGTTTGTTAATAGGGGGGGGGGTTTCCCTCCAAAAGTGATGATTCCCCACTCAACCCAGTGGCACCCCCTATTAACAAACTGGGGTTGATTAACCATGAGCATCCCTGGACCTAGAACAAAGATGCGGCCTACTGGAAAGGGCGCACAGGTACATGGGTAGCGGGTGCCAATTCCCTAAAAGGGTTCCATGTCAATGTGCAGGCGAGTAAGTGGTTACTGACAAGTGACACTGGTTAAAACCTACTTGCATGACTTGCCGTCGCTGGGGTGTGAAGCCATGGTTACTCACCCTTTTCCTAAACCCAATCACCCTGAGCTGGGGTGGATCGTGTGCGTCTCCCACCCCTGCATTTGCAAACGAGCCACACCCTCGTTCGCAGTACAGCATAGGGCTTCCCCTGTTTTGGGCATCCGCTGGAACCCCCTGGGTGTGTTATCTATATTTACGCATATATGCCCATATTGAAGGTTCCAATCCAACATCCAATCTGCCAACGTTACAATCACTTCAGGACCTGCTTGTCTTAAACACCAAAGATCTACCGAGTCGGATCGCATTTAGGTCTCTTGCTACAAGATCAACACGGGACCCTCTGCCCCTGCTGCCTCTGGGCTGAACCAGAGGGAGGGTTGGAGGAAGGCAGTCCTCCAGCAGTTCCCTTTCAGGTTCCCAAGTTAGGAAAGCAGGGGTAGGGGACTACCTCTGGGTCCACAGTGACAAGCTCAACAGTAGACTCTAAAGGGGAACTCAATCACTCGGTGGGCCCAAAGAGGTGATATTCGAACTAAGGAGAAAAAAAAGGAACTGGGCGGCTTCCCTTTGCTTACTTTTGGGGTATCCCATAAACATGAGCACAAAGCTTTGCAAAACGAAGTTAAGAGACCAAATCATTTCGTGACCCAGGGTATCTTGTGGTTTGCCTTTGAACAGCCCACAAGCAAGATTTAGATAGGGGGCGTGCAATTCTGGTTGATTATGAAATTGCCACTCCATGCCACTCTACACCACATGTCACCCCATGTCGTGGAGTAGCACAAAGTTGCAAGAAGTGGCATGGACCGGCAGCGCGCAAGCGGATTTCGAGCTGGACCACATTTTTGGGGCAAAGGCACAACGACCCAAATATACCTCTTAGAAAAGCAGATGGATGTCCCTAGATTATGAAAACAACTATGCGAAGGGTTACCTGGCTCGATTTTCTAACAAAACCCAAAAAAGAGAGGCGATTCCAAAAAGCACACTACAAAAACGAAAACGAACTATGTTAAGGGTACCCTGATTGGACTTTCTACCAAAGCCCAACAACTATGCACCCAAGCTTCCATTTGGTCAAGACCCCTGGAAAAAACAATAAGCTCGGGCGATACCCCCAACAGCACCACACCCTCCCAGAATCCCCGCGGAACGCCCCAGGACCGTCCTTACCGCCGGTGTTGCTGAGGATGCCGCCTTGTAACTTTCTAAAGCAAATCTACGAGTGACAGCGCAATCTCGCCCTGATCGGGGCCCGACGGCGCAGTCGGGGCCCGATCGGGGCCCGACGGCGCAATCGGGGCCCGATCGGGGCCCGACGGTGCAATCGGGGCCCGACGGTGCAATCGGGTCCCGATCGTCCCGTGGCGCAACCCCAGCCACCCATATTATAGCTCAACGCCGGTTTTCCTTAGCATGCGGATTACAACTGTATCTATAGCAAAACTAGGCGATGCCAGCTTGGTACAGTTGTCGGGCCCCGATCGGGGCGCGATGGCGCAATCGGGGCCGATCGGGCCCAAGCGGTTGCACAGTGCAATCGAGGCCCGGTGAACCGCGCAAACCGTTCTCATACAACTTTCGTGGAGCTCAGTGTGAAACTTTGTTGGAACCTTTCCTCAGGGCTGCCCCATAGCTTTTGCAGAACCTGGTGCCTCATAGCCCTCGCAGCCTCGTGGAATTCTTGGAACCCAAAGCCCACCAAGCAGCAATGCCAAGCATTTACTCTGCTGCACAGTGAGTCCCGCAGCGACGTGGTCTGATTTGCCACAAAGCCAACATTTCCCTGAGCAAGTGAGCAAGTCACAAAACAGTGAAAGTGTGCTAAAAGCCATTGATTTCGGTTTTGCTTAGTGTTCCGCCCAATCTTGATCCGATGGCTTTTCAGACGACGGGCGCACGACACACTGCTTCCCTCCAGGGCAAACCATGGAACCTTGCGGAACATTTCCGGAACCCTTGGTGGAACATTGTGGAGCCTTGTGGAACCTGTGTGGAATCGTTGCAGAACTTTGTGGAACCCTGTGAAACTTCAGGGCCCACAGCCCTCGCAGAATCTCATGGAACCCTCAAACCACTCCGGACCACCCCGCAGCCCTCGCAGAACCTCGTGAAACCCTGCTAGAACCGTGGTGGAACCTTCATGGAACCTTACCTTGCAAAACCTGGTGGAATTCTGGTGCAACCCTCATGGAATCTTACCTCAAACCAGCCCGGACCGCTGGTGGAACCCTGGTGAAAACCCTCGTGGCTGGTGAAACTCTGGCAGAACCCTGGTGGAAATCTGGTGGCACCCTTGTGGAACCCTCGTGAAACCTTCCTCAAACCAGCCCGGACCACCCCGTAGCGCTTGAAGAAATTGCTGGAACCCTGGTGGAACCCTCGTGGAACCTTACCTCAAACCACCCCGGACCACCCTGCAGCCCTGGTGCAAACCCTCGTGGAACCTTAGCTCAAACCACCCGGACCACCCCGCAGCCTGGAACCCTGGTGGCACCCTGGTGGAACCCTGGTGGAACCCTGGTCAAACCCTGTGGAACGCTTGTGGAACTGTTGTGGAACCTTCCTCAAACCAGCCCGGACCACCCCGCAGCCCTCGAAGAAATTGGTGGAACCCAGGTGGAACCCTCGTGGAACCTTACCTCAAACCACCCCGGACCACCCCGCAGCCCTTGCAGAATGTGGTGGAACCCTGGTGGAAACCTCGCAGATGGTGGAACCCTGGTGCAACCCTGGTGGAACCTTAGCTCAGGGTCGCCCCGAACCACCCCGGAGCCTATCTGGGCTGAGACCCCAAAGCTTTCAGCTGTTGGGGAAAAAACCTAAAATAGTTCCAGTAGTGATAGATCCCCTTTAAAACCAACAGGGGAAAGTAAAACATGTTCTTAAGCAAATGGAAGCAAGAGCAGGACTTCCGAGATTCTGAGCATCCGGCAGCAGCTTTCGGCCTAAGAGTCTCAGCTCCACTGGTCCCGTGCGCACCTGCTCGAGACTGGCCGGCCGGGTTTCCAGGTCTCAAGCGAGGACCACTGGTACCATGACTAGGTCCTCCTGGTACCATGAGGCTAATAAGGGTACCCCTTCTTTTTTCTGTAGTCTATTGTAGGGGAACCCTCCACTGGGGGACCTAGATGAACCCCCAAGAAGGGCGAACTGGGAAGGGGGGGTGGGAGAACTGGGGAGGAGGAGGGGGGTGACGCCCTTAAGGCCTTACTAAGGGCTTATTTACTTGGCTGTTCCCTGAGCTGGTGGGGGTGCTGGACGTGCTTCGTGCCTAGTTTCATGCGTGTCACAGAATACAAAATGGCTTCGACCCTTTTGGAACGCCTTCTTAGGCGGCAACGCATCTCAAGATCTCAACCAGCTGAGCAACTCCCAACATTCTGCTGAGCAACTCCCGAGGGCGTGCTTTTGCTCCCTCCCTCCTACCGGCCTACCGGCCTGCGTGCTCAGCCCTGTTTTGGAGCAGGAAGCCCAACGCGATGTGAACAAAAGCAGGTCAGGGCACAAAACGCAAGCCCCCCTTTTTCCATCAGATGTTCTGGGGGTACAGATTCCAATTAGCTGAAGATAAGGCAGGGCTTAGAGTTCCCACTCCATGCTAATTCAGGCAAAGGGTATTTGTCATTTGCTGAAGGTGAGGTTTCATTTTCCTTGTCGGTGCAAGGGGCATGATATGTCAAGCATGTTTGGATTGGTGGTTTGGAGGTAACAGGCAAGCTTTCCATTTGGGTTCAACAGAATCAAGACTTCAAAAATCCCAAAGCTCCAACCTCAACGAATCAGGGTGATAGGGAATGACATTTCCCATTTTGCGCAGTTGTGCTTTTAGCTTTTGCATTTCAAGAGGTTTCCTCGCTTTTCAAAGTGCGGCTTGTTGCTTGAAGGGTTGCCTGGTTTTGAATGATGGTTTGATGGTATTTGGCATGGCTTCAGAGTTTCTCTCTCTCCCTCTCTGCCGCACCATCGTTAAGCCTTCCACCAGAGGTGGGGTGCCAAGAGCCCATTTCAGGGCGCTTCAGAGTCTAGCGGTTTTGTATTCGTTGGTTTGAAGGGGTTTGCCCGTGGTCGGATCGACTTGATGCAGGCTACCCAAAGGCAAAAAACAAGACTTCAAGCCCTCGGAAAAGCAAGCTGAACAAAAACAGCTCGAGGGCTTTGATTCCTTTTCCATTCTGTTCAAGCAGTGTTCTGTTCAAAAACCATCGCTGTTTTCCCCGGCGTTTTAAGATGGCTTCTTGAAAAGAAGGACCCCTGGAAAGAATGGAAATGGAAGCTTCCCCTGGAAAAGCAACACAACTCCCAAAATCCACAAATGCTTCAAAGCAACACGATCCAAGGTGGCATGCTCATCACAAGCCGCCCTACAGGTGGTTTGCCCTGGAACCACCCCCAAGAGTATTTTGGTTAAGGCACACAAGAAAATAAGAACAACACAAAACCCTTCGCAGGGATCTCAAAACAGGGGGCGCTAAATGGAGGCTTTCCCTTTGGTTTCCCTTCAAACCAACCCCAGTGTCACAAGTGAATCATAGGTAGTAGCCAGGGGAAAATTCACCATGCAAAAATCTAGAAGAAACTCTGGTTCTTGACTATAGTGGTAACTGGAAGCACTGGGACTGAATTAGGGACCTTCAAACTACCCTTATCAAATTCCGAAAAATCACCACATTGGCTTTTTTGCTGGCGAAATATCGTCGTTGGAAGGGCACAAATTTAAATTTTAGCTGATTCCCCACTAAACCACAATAATTAATCAAACATGTAAAATGTTTCCCAACAACAGCCATGTGGTTGGGTAGCAAACCAACCAAAACCGAAGACCGACGGCCCCCCCCCCGCTGCCTGAAGCTCCTCACAGGTGCGGCGCAGGGTCCGAAGCTTGGCGAGGCTGTCGGGCTCGGCGTTCTGGGACCTGCCCGTCAGCTCACTTGTGGGTCAAAACCGTTTTGGGATCCCATTTTCGGGTAGGGTGCACCACCCAGGTTAGTGTGGGTCAACACCGTTTCGGGATCCCATGTTGGTTGGCAGGTGAATTCACCACCCATTTCAGAACCCATTTTAGTGGTTGGATTGGGATGTTCACTAGGGGTACAATTTTAATTTTGACCCATGGCCACTTGACCTCCTCACTTCTTGAGTGGATTGCTCAGAAAAAGTAGCCACACGTTGTATTTATCAAAGGCTTTCGTTACAGGACAATGTACAAAAAATAACCCCAAAACAAGCTAACTAAGCTGTTTTCCTCTAGAACTTCCTGTAACCCAAGCATTTGAATTTACCACTAAAATGGTCCAGACCAGAAAGGTGACAGTCCAGGAACTCAGCAAGCAAGCCTTTGCATGGCTTTGGAAAACACTTGCCTTTTACTAAACCTGGAAGTAAAAAGTGATCCCCTTTTGGCACTAAAAAAGGGCAACCCAAAATGGGAAAAGGTCGAAAGGTCAAAAGGTCGATTCGCTTTGGGCAACTGAGTTCCTCAGAGGACACCCAAATTGGTGGTTCCTTTTCAAGTGTCTCTAATGGGTAAGTGGTTTGCGCAACTCCAACTGGTGCGGAGTGGATTTTGTTCATCCACAGTATGTACCCAAACATAGGTGATCAGCTTTTGGGACCTGAATGAAAAATATGGACCAACACAGGAAACCAGGTTTTGGTGAGAAGGTCAATTCGCGTTGGGCAACAGGGTGGGTTTTGCGTCAAACTAACCACCCCCAAAGGCGTGGTTTGCTGCCGGTTTCTTTTCATGCGACCCCTTTTGGGGTACCCCGAAACACAACGCCATGACTGGACCCGCAAAAAGTGGTCACTTGTTGCTTCCGCGGTTTGACCTGTATTGCCAGAAGCCATGAACTTGTTTTGAAGGAAAAGGACGGAAATCCACAAGCTTTGAGCGATCCGTCTGGCAATGCTGACGTGGAACCTGCCAGTTTTGAAGAGTTTCTCAGGTGCCGTGGGTAGCAAATTGATCCAACGCGTACCTAGCAACCCCTGGGTTACCCAAGCAAGCGCCTTGCAAGATTGCTTTCGCCCAAAATGATGCCGGCCAATGAAAAGCTGGAAAAAAAACGGCCATCGAGAGAGAGCTACACCCCAACTGACACGGGAGCCCTGATATTGCAAGGGTACCCACTGCCACCCCCTTTACTACAGAAGATCATCGATATCGATCCTTGCTCGCTTAGCTTCTGGTCACCTTACCCGAGCATGTGGGGCCCCGAGCGAAATGAAACGCCAGCAATTTAGGGCGTGGCACGGGAGAGCCCTGTGGTCATCCCGTAAGTTTTCGCACTCCTGGGATATGTGATCTGGGACCGTGCCTGGTACCCCTTAGCCTCTAACACCCTAGTAACCCCTTTGCTCCTGCAACCCGACTGGCAGGCGCTGCCACTTCTGAGTCTAACTCGGTCGGACCCCTCCACACCCCTGTCTTGGCTTCCTTTCTCCTTCGGACTTGTCACAGCCTGTTCAAGGTGGGCCAGTCCAAAGTGACCCTCATGGACGATGCGAGGTCGATACGCTGTCAATATCAAATATCCCCACGCGTCACTGACAGCTTGCTTGGCTAGTGGGCTGCCGCTTGCAACTGCCTGTCACATGAGACCACGCCGAATCCTCGGTGCGACCACATGTTTCACTCTCCTGTGCCGTGGGCCTTGTTGGTGTGTGGCTAGGGTGGGTTTTTGGCTGGGGTTTGAGGTAGGATAAGGTAAGTCCGGGGTTGGTTTGTCGGATTTACGGTTGTTGGTTTAGGGGTTTGGGTTGGCTTAGGCTTGATTCAGGAAGTGCGATTTTCGAGCATCTCTGGGAGGCCACTTGGAAGACAAGCTGCCTCTGGAAGGGCCTGCCTGTCAGGTGCCATGTTAGTGGAAAGAAGCGGTAAACAAATCTAAAACTACATGCTTCCGCTTAAACAGTCTCTGCAAAGTGCAGAGACATCTTGCACCAGCGACGGATTTGAGGGAGTAACTGTGGTCAAGCATTAGGACACCCTCTCACGTGATCTCACGTGTCTGTCAGGTTCAGCTTCAACTCAACCTGGCGCTAACGGATTCTACCCACATACAACCAATCAACGTGTTTATGATTTGCGGCGACTCTCCCTCCACCTCGGGTTTTGATTGCCGTGCTTTTGAATCACAGGCCTCAGCCAAAGGTCGTGGTTCCCGTAGGTGTAGCACACCATATCAAAGCTGGCCTTGGAGTCCACGCCGCTCCGCACAAGCGATCTTGCATGGGCTGGCGTCTTTTGGATGGACGGTGTCAAAAGGGGATCCATGCTGTGGATGGACGAGATCCGTTCTCACCACTCGGAAAGCATGGTTGAGACCATAACGTTTATTGGCATTTGCGTTGGGACATCGAATCATTCCAGGGTTTCTTAGGTGGTGCGAAATGAATTCCGTCCATCCACAGTTGGGGGTCGGTTGGAAAGGCCCGCATAATAGTTTAGTCAATAGCAGTCAGAGCAAGCATCATCCCGCATTCATGGGACTGAAAGGCAAGATGCAGCATCTTGTGCCACTCCTACGGGTGACAGATTGCACTGCAGATTGGCTTACCATCAAATTCGGGTTGAGCAAACTGCTAGAATGAAGCCGGCTCATGCCAGCACACGACGACTGATACATGCTCCTCAGCACCAGTTGGGGCGGATGAAAGGCAATAACATTGGAAGCTTGGCCATTGAGCAAAAGTCTCAGACTTCTGCGGCTGGCTGCTAAACACAAGCAGCAACACCCGCCCGTGATTCAGCACGCACGCCGCCAATTGCGTCTGCCAGTGTAGTTGAAAATCAGTGCATAGGTGCACAAACATGTGTATATATATATATATATACAGACATACGCATATACATTTGTACATCTCTGCGTACTAAGTATGACTCCTTGCTAGCTGAAGCCATGCACCAATGAGAACTGGCTTGGCTCTTTGGCGACTGCCCACGGCCGAACAAACCCAAAATGGCCCAAAGGCCGAGCACCCCAAATCTGCGGGGGATACCCGGAACCCAGTCTGATGTCTCCGAACGGTTTCATTGCGGAAGGTTTTAGGCCAACTTGCCAATCCCAGCCTCAGGGGAAGCTGGGAGGTGCCAAAGAAAAAACATACACTTATGGAGTCGTGTTTTCCGGGGAAGATTAAGATGCACATGTGGCTGTGGGTCAAAAATATGTACTGTACCCAAAATTCAAAAGGGAACCGTGGCAAGTGGAAGGACCAAAACCAGCGGACCGCTGGTGGTTTAATGTTGACCCATACCCATGTGTGACATTGGGATTCCATTTTGAGGGGGTGGAGATTGGGGGCCGGTCACCCAAATCCGTCGCCCAAAGGCTCAGCCCAGGGCCGTCAGCATCTTCATGGTCTGGCGAAACACCGCCGGGTCGTCCGAGACATCTCCTGGATCCGCTCGCGCGGCTTTCTCGAGGCTACACTTTTTGGGATGCGCTTAAAATCCCAAGAAACCAAGCATTGAGTGGACTTCCTGACTTTGAGACAAAGAAGTCCCTGGAAACCATCTGGTTGCAGATGTGCTTCCTGTTGCTCACCGAGAAAATCCAAGGGACATGTGTAGGAAGGAGCTCCCTGAAGGGCTGTGGACCTTCTGGGCCACTCGCAGGCTCTCACTTAGGCATGGAATTTGGCCGTCTCAGGGCTGGAGATCAAGCTCCCAACAATCCTACACAAAGCCTTTGGAGCAAGCAAACTCCGGCATGCGAGGCAGCTGATGGATGGCCTTCGATCATCCAACGTCGCAGCGAAAAAGGCCCCGGTTCACAGGTGTCTGCTCTGAACAGCATGGAGCTTTCCATCAGGATCTGCCACAAGAGAAACCACCATGTTGTGCTAAGCACGCGCACCAGTTGTATCCCGGAAGTTGGTTGGTCAACCCGCAAGGTCACCAGACCGGGCTCAGGCTCCAGCACCCCCGCAATGACAGCGGTGGATCCTATGATCAAGCTCCCAAGACTACAAAAAGCAGCGGTTCCTTGCAGGATGTTGGCAAGTGCCCAACACCCAAGGCAGGCTGCCAAACAAAGCATCGAGATCCCATGCAGCTTCCGCGAATCCGTTCGATCCTGGCAAGAGGAGCACGTTGAAGACGTCAGGGGACTTGCTCGGCAAGCGCTTCTTGAACCATTCCATGTTGACCTTGTGATCCGTGTGGATGTCACTGATCCTCAGCTCAAGGCTTTCCGGCACCCTGGCATGGGCACGGAGTTATAGTCTATATTCTGGTGCGTGCAAGCCCGAGGTTTGTATGCTAGGACCCTTGTGCATGAACACACGCGCAAACGTATGCACTCTCCCACCAACACATGGAAGTGCACAGGTCAAAGGCCAACCTCTTGGAGCCTTGTTCGGCAAAATGGTCGGAATCGGCTACATGTGGGTGCTTCTCCTTTAAATTTGGGGACCGATTCCTTCAGGTAGGTGGTTTCTGTTGGTGTTGGCATCCTTTTAAAATCCGCCAAAGAAGGGGTCCCTATTTTGAGACCCCATTTGGCTGTGGGTCAAAAATAGGTACCACAAATGGAACCCTGTTAAATGGACAGAAGGACTAAACCCTGCGATCCCCTGGTGGTTTAATTTTGATTCATACCCATTTCTTTTCGATCCAAGCTGCGTAGCCACCCGCAGGCGCACGTTTGGTGGCAGCTGCACCACCTCACGAGAAGGCACACGCCTTGTTGCAGAAGGCGCGACCAAACTACACCCAGAGTCCCGCCCAAGGGAAGCTCGTTCCAAATCCGCAACCAGGAAACAACACAAACAAACCAGTTTTGAACGAACAGGTTTGCAGGTAATATCTGTAGATCGCCCCCAGAAACTGCTTCTGGGCAACAAAATCGGCCCAGGGTTTCGGAAATACAAGGCCAAACCAAGTGAAGAGCTTAAATCCGCTTCCCACTATTTGGTGATTTGGATTGGTGGTTTGGAAGTTGGGTGGCTTCCCATTCGCACAAGGGGCTCAAACCCCCAACCACCAATCTGAACCCAACTAAGAACTGCCTGATCTCACTTCCTGAGCGGACTGGCCCAAAACAGTCCAAACTGCTTGTTGCCACTAAAATGGTCCCAGAAAGTTTTCTGTCCATGGTCCCGGAGCGAGTTGAAAAGTGCCGGGCTCCGGGACCCAAAGGCCCAAAGGACAAGCGTCGCCCGCAGGCCTCCAGCTCATGTGGTGGTCCAAAGAGCTCGCTCAACGGACTGGCGCGGGCCTCGTGGACGAAGTTGAGATAACCCGCTTGTCAGCTTCGCTCCGATTGGTTTGGAGAAGTGATTTGCGCACCGTTGACAAGAAGCGGAGCCAATCCAAACCACAAACTTCATGTTTTGGTTGTTGGTGATTCTGCTTGTTCGGGGTCCATGACGTACACTGGGTGCGGGGTCTGAAGAAATAGCACAAAATTGCGCATCCGTGTTTGGCTTCCCTTTGGGATCGTTGTCCCATTGAGCCGCGGAGCTCGCTATTCGTGTCAAAGGTAACGCCTGGGATCCCTGGAGACCGTTATGCCATACTGGGTGTCAAATAGGGGGCTGGGAAGAAAACAGGTTTGATTTTTTGTTGGAACTTTCCTGAGAGATATCTGCTACGCCCAGCACCCCGAATCATGAGTATCTCATCTCCAACCCCTTGAGGGATGCTTGTTGCACAAGCAGCATTTTGGACATGTTTGAAGCACTAAATGGGGAGGCGGCTGGTTTGCACGCCGTTTTGGCCTGGTTTCTGCCACTCAAGCCCGGTCCTCGCGCGGCTGCAGCAAGGGCTTGTCCTGCCATTCGCGCGAATGCACCCTATACACCCATCCAAGAGGATCCTCCTGTTGCTGATTGACTTCCTCGATTGCTTTCTGCTCCCATGCTAAAGTTTGACTTTTAGTGGTTTAATGGAACAGCCATATAGTTGGCAAAAAGTCAAAAGTCCCAACATCCCAGAAAACTGCACCAAAGGTTCCAAGGGAATACCAGAGCCAGTGCTTCCAAACTAGCGACCAGAGACCCTGGACTTCTCCCTCAAGGGTGCCGCGGGGCTTGCGGACCGAAGTCGAAAACCCCCGTCCGGAAAAAGGACGGGTGTGGCACACCAGGAGAATTGCCAGGGTGTGCCAGAAGGTTAAAACCAACACAGGTTTTAAAAAAACACAACACAAGGTCACGCCAGCAAATGGAACAAACGAAGAAACACAGACAACAAACCGACAAATCCCGCGCAACACGCAGAAAGCATAAAGTTTGACACACCCCCCCCCACACCCCTCCCTCCCTCATCCGCTCCCTCGGCCCCCGTCTGGTTTTGACCCATCCCGGTGCCTTGAGCCGCAGGGAGACCCAGCCCTCTTTGGGGCCGACGCCTCGGACCAGGCGGAAGTGGAGCCGCTCGTTCGCCAGCTCCAGCTCCTGCACCTCTGCGCCTGCGCTTCGCTCGGGTCGGTCGGCCGAGCGAAGACCGGCTGACAGCCGTCCCTGGTACCTGAAATGCTGCCCCCGTTTTTTTTTGGGGGGGGGTGGTCCAGACAACAACCACGAGTTTTTCCAGGCCGTGCCGGACCCCGCCTGTGCCAAGCCTCTCGTCGAGCTTCTCCGAGGCCAAAGCTGCCTTTGGCCGTTGGATGAAGCGAAGGTTCCAAACCTCCAGCCGGCCCTGCACATCTAGTCTTGAATCCGGAAAGAACTAAAAAGAAGAAGTGCTTGAAACCAAGGTACCTGAAACCTAGGGAACAACCCGTAAGCAGGTAAGCTTCAGCCGAGAAAGAAACAACCTTACCAGCGACCTGAACGGTAGAAGGGCTGCTTCAACCCTATGGTGGCAAAAAGCCGCTGGTTCTGTCTTTGGTTCGGGCGGTTCTAGATCCTCTAGATTTGAGAGGTTAGAATAAGTTGGTACCCGATTTTTTTTCTGGTTTGTCTATTCTCGTGGAACCCTCCCAACCAAAAAAAGGGCGAGAAGGGGCGCCTAGCTGGGGCCCTGGCTACAGCACCTTTCTGGGGAGCCTTCATTGGGCCGAACGAAGCTCACAGAATTTCAAAGGGAGCCTGTAAGCAGGCCCTGCTTTTGAAACATCAGGAACTTCATCCAAGGTGAAGAAACCGAACCCCAAGGTCTGCGTAAATGAACACAAACCGGAAATGGCAATAATCCAGCAAATCTTCAAGGGTGAGCAATGAGCATTGTAGCCAGGGGAATGTAAGGACCCTGGCTCATGTTTTGTGACATGCTCCAAATTCCCCACAGTCCATGAAATGCAGGCTTTTTCAGACCCCCAAATGCAATTTGAGAATCCCTCCAGATGTTCATTTTGCCCTCCCTCCTTCCACCAATCCCTCCCGTCAGCTTCCATCGCTTCCATTGAGGAGGGAGGGTACTCCACCCGGTTGCCCCGAGTCTGAGCTGCGCCCGTCCGCACCACGAGGCCGCCGGCTTGCTCCCCGCCCACCACTTCCCAAAGGCGAGGCGCCATGGCGCGTGCGGGCGCTTGCGGGCGCTCGCCAGGCTACGGGAACATGAATTTCCGCTTCCCTCCGAAAGGCTGGTTAGCCGAATCGGTGGTTTGGTGGTGGAGATGTGTCCCACTCGCTACAAGAACGTGGGGCTCAAATCCAAATCTGAACCACCAAGGCATTGTGGCTGGTTAATGCTGGTTTGCAGGCAGTCAAACCACACTCGTAGGGCTTCGGCCAAAAGACAGCTCCTATCCTCCTTGTGGCGTTGGACATTTGCAAGGTGGGCCAAACAATTCATCATAGCTCACCCCATGATTGTGAGGGGCTTTTGAAGGAGAACAGCCCCCCTCCCCCGCCAGAAAAGACCTGAGCATACATGACCCCAAAAGAAGCATATTGGCCCCTAATTAGATAGGGCTTATTGGTCGCATATTATAGCCTCTATTGGGGGGGGGGTCATTGGGGCCCTTGGCAATCAAAGGAACTTAAGCTCATGCGGTGGCGCGCTCATACCATTGATGAACTTGCTGGCATGTGAAGGGCTTTCTGATGGCGCGCATCCAAAAGACATCGCTTAAAGGTTGGGCACTGTGGTCGCCCGGGGGAAATCATCTGCAGGCAGCTTGCTGCATAGTAGAGGCGATCTACAGCGCAGAGCTTGCAGATATGTGTCGTCAGGCACACACGTGCTTTGATCAGGAAAGCAAGCGGTAGGAACCAACGAAGGACTCTGCAAAAACACTGGTCTGACTTCAAAGGACGATTACTAGAACACACACACACACCCATGAAACGAACCTGGCCTGACCTGATGGGTTGACTGGTGAAAAGCTTGCAAGTTGGGGTCCGGACTGCCAAACTGACAACGAGTTCAGGCAGGCACTCAAAATACTCCAAGTGGTTCAAGTCAGCACATCAACGTTGGCTGGGTGTTTCTTCACCCATCTGTGCTAACAAAACACAACCTCCACTGGGCCTATCTTCCCAAAGCAGGATTGATGTCGTGTTCCCACTTGGTTTCAGATAAGGTGTGAAAAAGGTGGGCAAAGTGCGATACAACCAGTAAAAACGGCAACATGAACTTGCATCGTCTCCGCTAGCAATCCGCGTTGTTCCCGTGGGAATGCATGCATACACTGCCAAAATAATCATGGTTCCTACCTGCTAGCTGTTCCCATTATTATCAGAGGCCCCGCAAAACGGGGCCCCAAAACAAGGCAAAAGGAACTCCCCTTGCTGGTCAGTTGCCCACTGACCCGGGTAGGACAAGGGAGGCCAAACAGGTAGATAACCTTCAGGGAACCCAAAGGGGACATTTAGATGCCAAGGAACTGGGGTTGGGATTGATTGAGTCCTTGGCGACCATCGGGTTCTTAGCAAATAGCTAGTAACTATGGGCAAATCCCAAATCACCTGTTCGCCACAAAACGCACGCGCAAAGAAACGTCGCCCCATGACCCCTTCACTCAATTGCCCAAGGGACCCAGAAACAAACGGCAAACCGTCAAACGGTCGACCCTCTTTGGGCAACTGAGGACCTTGCCCAATTGAATTGTTGAGGTCCTTCAGTAAGGTATGTGTTTTTCATTTCATTATTTTTCTCTTTTTCTTTTTTCGGAAACCACACAAATGGGTGGTTTTCCCTTTGGCTTCCCTTCAAAACCATTCGGGACCCGGCCCCTTTAAAAGGAAAAAGTCAGCGTTGCATGTGAATTGGTGGGAGGGTACCAACTCCCCTAGGTCCTGCAGTAGAGAGCTTAGAATAAGTTGGTACCCACTTTTTTCTGTAGTCTGTTTTAGGGGAACCCTCCCAACCAAAAAAGAACAGTGAGAAAGGGCACCAATCGCCGGGGGACCTAGTTGTAAAGAGGGGACAGTTTTACTAAAACCGAGGTCGCCGCGGGTCAAGTCCAGATCCAACTCCTGCAGCACGGAGGGGAACTGCAGCCTGGCCGTGCTTTCTGCTCCCCTGCTAAAAGATTACCTTTTAGTGGGTTTATGGAAAACCCATTAGTTGGCAAAAAGTTAAAGTCCTAGCATCCGAGCAAAATGCAACAAAGCTTCGCCACCCCCAAAGAAATATCAGAAAAACTGGGGCATGACCCTCAAGGCAAAGCCAAAGCGAGGCGTTCTATGTGGCTGTGGGTCAAAAATATGTACCCCAAATGGAAGCCTGGTAAATGGAAACATGGACTCAAACCTGCGGTTCCCTGGTGGTTTAATTTTGACCCATACCCATATATGAGGTTTTGAAGCGTTATAGCTTTCCAGCGTGAGCAGTACTCGTTGTGTTCGATGTTTATGTTAGCGGGACTCCATACCTCCATTGCAAATGGCCTTATACTTGGGCGCAGTCAGATTTCCACGCCCTCAGCCGTTAGCAGTTGCTAGTGGGTGAGTTTCTTGAGGTTGCAAATGGGTGCCCGATTCCCTCTACGTGCGCAAGATCGGGATGGATAGCTGTCTGCAAGGGCTGTTAACCCTCCATGCTAAACCAAGGCCTGCACATTGCGTATTTATGCTGAGTTCAAAAATCGATTTTGCTCAACCAAATATATGCCGCTCTTGAGGTTGAACACGTTTCGAACCTAAGGTCCCGAACCCTTCATGAGATCCAATGCTTGGGGAACTTGCAAAACTGGATGCACGCCGACCACGCCAGGAAGGCGCGCAAGGCGCGCAAGGCCTGGCAGCTCCCTCTGGGCCAATGCCTGGGCATGGTGCTTTGATGCTTTGATTCGGCCAGGAGTCATTGCAACCGATGGTCACTGAAAAAAAAAAGGGATTAATATACCCCAGCATGTTAATAGGGGGGTTGCCTTGGATGAAGCAAAACCGGTTTAACAACAGGGCCTCCCTGGTTCAGTCAGGGTTCATAACCCAGAAGGCTGCGGTAGTGAGAGGCTTACCAAGCGAACTCGTGTCCATCAGACCGAGTCATTCCCGAAATCAAGAGGGAATGTGAATTCTAACAAATACCCCTATGCAACTGGGGACCCTTCCTGTCTATAGGCTAGGTACTAAACCTAGTACATGCGAAACAACTCCCCTCCCCTCCGCTAACATGGAACCATACAAACATCTTGAGTCAAAATAGGGGGACCCTTGACAAATGTGACCAAAAAACCAAGCTGAAACGGAAACGGGTCCCCTTGTTTCACTCATTTGATGCAGTGGGCCCAAGCCCGGTTCTACCAACATGGCTATAATTGGGCTTTCTTGCTGGGCTTACCACAACCAGGTAGAAAGCGCCTAACCTGGTCATTTTCAGAGGTGTTGGGCTCAAGTGCTGCAATGGTTGAAACAGTCAGGGTTCAGAAGACCCGGGTGTCTTTTTTGAGGGTACTCTTTTGGTGTTGTTTTAATGGGAAACCAAATGCGTTTGGGGGTCACATGAAAAGGCACACCTACTTCACCAACCCGGAAGGAATCCTCATGGCACATTAGAGAGAGAGGGAGAGAGGTGTCCAAATCCAAAGGCCGGGCTACATGGCGGTTGGGGTCCGACACAAAGTGGGGCCAAATTCTTTGACGTCAGGCAGGGAAGGACCCAGGATTGCTAGACAGGCTTGAGGTGCCACTGACAACTATGGCGCAAAGGACCCAAAATAGAACGACAAAGTACACAATCTAAACGAAAGACATTCGGGTTTTCCAACCGTGCCTTGCTTGAAGGGGCAAGAAACTTCGTGATTGGCTCGTACCATGATTGTCGCCCACAGGGGGCTTACAACCATGGCCTTGGTTGCTTGCCTGCGGTTCTTAACCACTGGTCTCACACACCCTGCTCCCAAGAGGGTCTGTCTTTTCTTGTTGATCCCCCGACTGGTGGGCTTCTTTTGGTTCCCCCTTCACGCCATAAGATATCCTCGAAAAACGAACCACACCCAAGAAGAACAAACTCTCCCGAGCGTTCGCCTCTCTTGCGGAGATCCAAAACCAGGCTGTTGCCGCCGTCGCCTCAACTCGGTGCAACCTTCGGGGCCTTTTGGCACTTCCAAATTTGCGAAAAGGGCCTTTCCATTGAGGTCTCCAAATTTCGTGCGGCTCGCCCGTGAGCGGACACAACGGGGTTTACATACCCATACCTGCCGACGGGGCCTGGAGTATGTGGTTGGTAAGCAAACCATCCACAGTCTGGCAATCGTTTCCCTTTGGGAAAAAGAAGAAGTACCCCAGCGGCTTTACCGCTTTGGCCGCCGAAAAGCCAATGACGAGATGAAGACCTTTATACTTTCGGTCCCCAAGCTTCTTCACTCAGGGAAGGCAACTTTTTGGGGCGGCTTGATGACGAGCCATGTCAGGAACTCATCTAACCACCTGGGCTGAATTCCGGGGCAGTCCAACCGAGGGGATCAAACCCCTGGATGGTGCTTGGAGCCAACCGGAAACGAGTTTCGGATGCCTCACAAACAGGAACCCCAGCAGTTTGGAGTTTTGATGGGGTGCAAGGTCGTTTTCACCGCGGTATTGGGTCTCAGGCTCTCATTAGGCTTGCTTTTGTTAGGTTTCATGGTGATTTGCATGGACGTACTGCGTGAAAGAAAGGTCAATGAATTGCCAATCTTCGTAGGAATTAGAAAAGCCAAGAACAAGCGGTCCCCGAGTGAAGAACCTGCTGGAGTTCGTTTGTTTTACATCCAGAGCTCGAAACCCAATCGGGCAAATTGAACTGATTGACATGATTAGGCCATGAGTGGTTTAACCACCCAAACTAGGAGTGCATTCCAGAGGTTCCTTTCTTAGGGCTCACAACTCGAGGTAAGAAACACTCTCCAGGAAACGAATTCCCCACAAGACTTTCCAGGATAAAGGTCTCTTAGAGTGGGTCATTGCAGCACGCGAGAACTGCGGGCTTCCGCAACTGGCAGGTGACTTTTCCTCGGGCCAAAGGCTGGACTTCTGCACCGCGCGTTTCGGTCGCATTTCGGGCGCTGGCCGAAGCGAAGTCGGGAAGGCAGGGCCTCCGATGTCGCGGGTGACTTCAAACCGTCGTGCTCACTTCCTGGGTTTAATTTGACAAAAAACAAGGGGTGCAGATGTATTTGCAGAAGCCAAGAAGCCAAAAGC